ATCTGCAAGAAGTACCTACTTGTCAATGTAACCTATCCTTTCTCTTCCACTAACACCCACCATCATTCCAATGTAAAAATCAATTTCTAGGTGAAATAGAATCATGATAAAGCTGGCAGAACAAGAAATGTGAAAAAAGATTACCATCTGGAAAATGAGTATTAATAACTAAAGAACTTCGGGTTCTAACATAAATGAGACATATTTAAAAGATCTTGACAATATTTTTCTTTCTCAAAATTAACTATATTTTATAGTGTTGAAAAAAAGCATTTGGAAGCTTCACATATATTACACAAATTTGCTGAAAGTAATTTAGTACCATTAAAAATTGACAAAGAACATGCTTTTCTTCAGGAAAGAATGTGTGAAATTGTGTCATGTTCATTGAACCCTGCTGTAGTAGGCAAGTAACAAGCTGAAGTGCATGGAGTATATCCAAGGGTACACTTTGTCTCTAGAAATGGGATTTTAAAAAGATGATGGGAGAAAAGCTGCATGTGGAAGCACTAGCTTTGTTTGATACAGTAAATGGAAAATGATTATTATAATGTTCCCTCTCTCTTTGTATTAGAAGGATAGAACTATGAAGGATAGAACACATTTTGTTCACCTCCCTCAGTGTTATGCCATCCAGCAAGGCAAGAGAAGTAAACTACTCCAAGATGTTTTGTTTGTTCTACCTGTAGGAGTCAAGGGGGAGAATGTCTTGTTTCCTCCTCAATGGAGATAGAATATCTAAAGCAGAGCACTGTCAATGCAGCTTTGAGGATCTAATTTACCCCTTATTATCTCTGACTGCACAGGAATTGTGAGAATAAGGGAGTGTTAACCTAACCTCTCATTGATTGTGGGGTCCATAAGATGTAAAGTTACAGATCAGCTTTGGGCTGTGTTTTCAGATAGATTACATGAACCAGAACTGGAGAGACAGAAGATGCAAACAGGTATAGAAAACAAAACAGAACAATGGAGGAATATGGTAGGGAGTATTGAGGGGTCATGGGTCCTGATCCTACTTTTCTCTGTTCTCTGGATACATCAGTGAAAGAAGTCAGCTAAATTTTTTCCTGATTCTTTGGGCATCGTTCATAACAAGTGACAGTCAACACATCTGGAGTAGCAAGAAAGAAGAAATAAATTACTTGAATTAGACTGTGTGTTCTTTGTTAGGGAGAGTGCCACATTTAATTTTCCTGGGCACTGCTTTATGCTGGCACAAAAGTATGCACTCAGTAAACACCTCCTGACTGAATGAATGATTATTTCACAAGTAGGGGTAGAAGTGGTGCAAATCGTTAGAGTGGCACATGGATTGCCAATGTTATATCAAATATAGTGATGAGCCGGGTGTGGTTGTGCACACCTGTAGTCCCAGCACTTGGGAGGCAGAGGCAGGAGGATTGCTATGCGTTCAAGGCCAGCCTGGGCTACATAGTGAGTTCAAAGCTAGCTTGAACTACATAGTGAAACCCTGTCTCAAAACAAAACAAAACAAAACAAAAACAAAAAGCAAACAAATATAGTGATGAAAGACTACATTTAGCTCCCCCATTTGCAAGGGATGTAATCTTAGGTAAGTAATCTCTCATTACTTCAATTTCCTCATTTTTTGAAACAGGAATTATATCTACCACAAATAATCTTTGTGAAGATTACATGAACTGAAAATTAGGATGGGAAGTACGTAGAACAGTGCCTTGTTCAAGGTAAACATTTTGTGAACATTAACAGTTTTTATCTCTACTAGTAAAAACCTTGACAAGAGTACTCATCAACAATGTAAGTTTTTTAGTGTGTAATCTGTCGTGTCCTTCAGATCAACTACTACAATTCTGGACAACAAATCAGGACAGGAAAGAGTCTCTGAGGTCTTTATTCTACAAGTGAGGAAACCAATCCCCAGAGACAGTAAGGGCTATCCAAGGATACCCCTCTCAGGACAGAGACAGGCCTAGAATCCAGTTTACTTTCTAGTTACTTCCAAACAAACAAACAAACAAAGAAAACAATTAAAAATTGAAGTGTAAGTAAAATAGATGCCCATCAGCAAGATGATTAAGGGCTGTAGTACAAGACTATAATACTTGATGTTTTTGCTCTTGTTTAGCAACAGGTACTTAGGAGTTACAGCTCTCAGTAATTTATAAGACATTTTGTGAAATGATGTATTATAGACATTAATTGTAGTAGGGATGGGCTGCTTTTTGTCTAGTCATGTAACTTACACGAAGCTGATTAAAAGTGCTTAGAGTAATACGAAGGAATAAATCATTCACTGTGATACCCAGATGCCTATAGTTGTAGTTTTATTAAGAATAAAACAGACAAACCAGCAAATTCTAAAGCCAATTCTTTACTACAATTCTAAGACAAACTTCAATCATAAAATAATTTTGAGTGTTGTCCAGACTAATTATAATTATAATGCAGGCTGTTACATTTGTGGCCTGGCAGCATCCCTTCATGTAGACGAGCATTCAGAGTTCAAGCATTTCAGAGTGAATACTTATCTCCAATAACCACAGTATCAGGAAAATAAGTTTCTAGTGTTTTCCACAAATTGTCTAAATTTTGAAGCAATTCAAAATCGAAGGCATTCAAATAGTTGAGAATAGTGCTTTTGTCCTTAATTCTATTTCCCTGTTTTTATAATGCATAAAAGTCACAAATTATATATTTAAATATAGTTTTCTTTGAATACTCTGTACCTCAAGAAATGTACATATAAGTTTAGAAATAGGCTTAATCACCAAAGATCAGTTAGGACTTAACTAGGATTTAAGGAAGTCAGATAATCAGATTCTTTGAAATAAAAGAAAAATTATAATCTATTTATAGTTCCAAATTTTTGAAATAAGTCAACCGATAAATATTTAGGTGGTAGCTCATAATAATTTCTTCAGCATGGTCCTGAAAAAACCTCATATGCCTTGTTATCTCTTCTATTTTTTCCAACAAACCTTTCAGCTACACCAAAAACTAACTCTTAATGGTTTGTTGTAACCTTCAGAAATAATATTTTTCTCAAGAAAATTTATTAAAGTGAGGAACATTATAACTGAATGAGCCAAACTATAACAAATCTCTCCAGAAAAAGATGAAAGTTTTGTTTTATCTCTAACATTTTAGTAACCCGAGAAATGTTCATTTTAAGGACAAGAGAATTTTCAACCTGTATGACCAGTTTACAATTGATATTTGTTTACACAAAGAAACATGCCTTCTGTTTTACCATCAAGACCATAAAGGAAACAATAACACTATTAAACCAGAAATGGCAGGTATTGTTTTAACTAGAAAAGAGAGACGAGCTTCTATTAGCACAACCTCTTGATATGTTCAGTACCAGGTTTAAAACGAGTTTGAAATCTCATTTTCAAATATAATATTGAGAGGGAGCTATGTCTGAAGAAGAAAAAAATTCCCTTCTACTGAATATCAGAGTTGCTCTTTCATCATTTTGCTCTATTGTGGTAAATAGTACTGTTCCATAGTTGATAATATGATATTTTCTAAGGGCAAAAAAGAAGGAAAAATAATGAGTTCAAGATCAGTTTCACATGTGACTCAAGACTTTATATGTATCTTAATCTAATGTTAGGAACGTAGGTGCATTTTTAGAAGAGTTTTCCTGAAAGCTCTTACAGATTACAAGTTACCAGATCCTATTATATTTACAAAGAATGTAGATAAATTTTTAACTTTAAATGACTTTGAGGCTAAAGGGTGCCCAGATACTAGAAAAATTAGTTGCAAAACAATCTGGGTAAACCCTTAAAAAATTGTAATTGGGTCCCCCCAAAAGTGACTATATTAAATGAAAGATATGCCTATTTTAATTTAAAGCTTTCATATTCAATCCTGAGGCTGCACGTTTCCTTCTAGCTACCTCATTAATCACATAATCTTAAATAATGTGTATAGAATAAACTGCATCAAACACAAAGCTTTGTTAAGGATCAGGTAATTACAGTTGAAATTTTTGATGTTACAAAATTCTATCAAGACAACAGACATGTGGTCTGTTTAACAAGACTACTACAGAATAATTTCAAATTGTTAGTGGAAATCTTAAACAACTACAAATGGACATCTAAATAATATTTTGAAAGTGAAGCTTTATAATTATGCCTCAAATGATAATAATCCATTGTTTCATTTAACTTAACCAAACTACTTCTTTAAAAATAAAATGGGGCACATATTCAATCCTGTAATTCTTGAATAGTTGGAAACAAAGTTGTTATCTCTTACAAAAACCCTTACATTTACCAGTGAGCCATTAATATATAATGAAATAAACAGAAACACTTACCTGTAATTAAAGTACAAAGAGTTGAAAATGCTGGAGAAACTTTCAATAGACAGAAAAGAAACTGAAACGGCAGCATCTGCTACCATCAGCTCAGGTTTTTTGACTTTACAAGTGACAGCAATACCAGTCCTGGGCCAGTACCCTTGTGTTATGTAACATCTTATTAATATTAGCCATCAAACTGCTACCAAGCTGGTGAGGCACTAGAGGGCAAGAGTGTCACATGCAAGACCCGTCGCCAAGGGACAGGCTTTGGTACCACTTCGGGGAGACAGATGCTAACTAAGCTGATAAATAACACTATGCCTGAACGCAACAGTGAACTTGCAATGTTCCTCAAAGAATATTTTAAATGTCAATTTTCCGACTAGCCGAAGAGTTAACAGGTTAATAAATATGCATAAGCAAATAGCCACACTATGCAAAACTTTAAGGATTATATTTAGAAACCCACAGTCACTCAAGAGGCTATTTTTTTTCATTGTTTAAATAAACTTATTCAAAACAGGAGAGGAAAGGCTGAATAAATAAAAGGAGTGTCGATTTCAGGATTCTTTCATTTCAAGCCTGGAGAAACTTGTTAATGAGATCGCGATCGCGGGGCCACCTCCGGAGTCCGCCGTGCAAGTTGCCCGGGTCGGGTTCTGGGGCGAGGACCGGCCGGATCCCGCACCGTGATTACCTCGGGCTGCATCCGTTCGCGCGCATCCTCCTCCCCGGGTCCTTGGCCTCCGCGGGTGTCCGAGGCCGCCCTGCCGTGGGCGTCCTTCCTTGCGAGGCCGGGCAGTCGGCGGCGCGGTGCCGGATCGGCGGCGGGGAGGGCGCGCCGGTGACTCCACGCTCTCGCGGGCGCCAACGGCGGCCCCGGGACCCGCCCGGCCGCGCCGCCGACGCCCTCACGCTGCCTCCCCGCGCCCAGCCCGCGCGCGCCCGGGGAGGGGCGGAGGCGGGAGCCGGGACGAGAGCCGCCCCCATCTGCCCGGCCTGGGGGGAGACCCGGCGTTCCCGCCTCAGCCTCTGGTTCTGAAAGCCAGTCTCGGGGGGCGGGGAGGGGCGGGGGGATGATGGAGGCAGCCGAGGAGGAACGGAGCTTTGCCACCGGGAAACGGGTGCGGGTCTGCGCGGCGATGCCGGGAAGGTGGGCGCCCCACGCGTGACCTCTGGTCGTGCTCCCGCCGCGGGCACAGGACAGGGCGGCGCAGCAGGGTGGGATGCTGCGAGGCTGGAAGCCAGGAGTCACTTCTTTTCTCCAGCTTTCTAAAAGGCTCTGTGCTCCAGCTCCTGAAGACAAATGCGAGGCCATCAATTCAATTTGGATTCGAGGTGTGAGGTTATCCTCTCCAAAACTCTAGTGTGATTAGGAGCTAAAACCCGAACGGTTTCTAAAAAAATCTCATTTGGCTCCACTAACAACCCGCAAGAGTTTCAGTGGGAACTACTGATGGTAACATGTGGACATTTGTGGCTTTGTTTTCCATCACTGGCTGCTCTTGATGGAAACAATGCCCCTGCTTCCTTTGGGGGATCCAGCACCATCCCACTGTCCGCCCATTTGCGAAGGTGCTGTCAGCTGCTGCCCAATACTCAGGTCTGCCGAGTAGCAGCATTGTGTTCCTCTGGGAGCGGGAATGGCAGGTGACAAGGTCTGGCCAGCTGCATGGTTCTGCAACCCTATTTTAGCCTTTCTTAAGGAAGTGGACCTTCTACTGGACCTTGCACAGTGAAGTTTTGAGTTTGGAGCTTCCAGGTCACCATGTGAGGTCGGAAAAGAAAGCTAATGTTTAGGGAGGCCAGCCAGGCAGTTGGGTGAAAGGCAAACCCAGATTGTTACGCTCTAAATCCAGTTATGGCTGAAACAAATTCTATCTCTGGATTTTTCATGCATGAGCCAATAAATTCACTTTTGGCTAAAGGCAGTGTTGGTTAAATTTTCTATACCTTGAAACCGAAAGAGATTGCAATGATATAGAAACCGAATATTTTAGTTGTTTATGAACTTCACGAGGGCAAATGGATATGTGTAAAGACCTTCATTTAGATCTGAATATCATTTACTTAGCTCATTTTTTTTTAAGATGAAAGAAAGTTGTATATTTTTCTTGCTCCATGTGTAGAAGAGGATGCAGAAGTGACTAAAGCCATTGCTCTTTCTGGAAGTCTACAAAAATGTCTGGATTGTGGAATTCTTTGGCCAGATGACATGTATCAGATTTCACTGATTTTATTTTTTGTTGGAGTCTCCATTAAGGGTCTTATGTCAATAAGGAATTTTAGGAACCTACATTTTTATATACTCCTTACTCCAGAGACCTGCTCTGTTTTCTGAGCATCCACATGTAAAAATTTTGAACATCTACAAAATGGTGCTGGGAATACAATAATACTAGAAAAAGGAAGGAAAAGAAAAGCAGAGACATTTCCTGCCCTACAGTTACTTTTAATGTGTTGACATAGAGATAGGAAGTCAAGCTCTTCCATAGTATTCCAAAGAACTGAGAATATTCAAAAATCCATAAATTTCAGAATATTTAAGGGTATGTAGGCAGGTTTAAGGTTAACATTAATTTCTTTCACTTCCTATCTTCTCTTGACAAAAATCAAGCCACATCAACACGACCAGAAAATGTCTACAGAATAAAGTATTCAGTATATTTGTGTCTCTGTGTCAGGGTTTTCTTTGGTTAGGCGTAATCAGATTTCTTGTTACTTTGAGGAGAGTTGCTTTTTGCCTTCAGCTACTGCTGCTTTCAACCATCCATCTGGAAACACAGACCTCTTAGGGTTAATTCCATCTTTACCCCGACATAGACAAATCTTATAGCTCTATTCCAGAAGTTTCTGTCTATGCATGTAACTAATTTAAGACAATGTAATAGCAGCTTGATATGTTGTTCCCTATGCTTTTTTCAGTTCCTAGGCCATTTCCCAGCAGGGAGGTATGAGAGAATATAGAGGCACGGCAAGCCTTTCCCTCCATAGTCCCCTTTTCTATTTTTTTCCCTTTACATAGAAACATGAAGGCCAGGGAACATCTTTCCCTTGAGAGAGATATTCTAATTTATTCTAACACTAGTTATAAACAACAAAGAACTTGTGGCAGGGCCCATAGAGGCTTAGGTTATCTGGTTCAGAGCCTCACACTGTGGACCACCTTGCATTCAGTCATCTCCAAATGAGCTTATGCAGTATTTTCTAATGTGATAAATGAATTAGGTTCAGTTTTAAATTTTGAGATACACCAGTTCTTATAACCACCTTTGACATTGCTATCGTTACTATTTGCATAAATACTAAGGACCTCAAGAACATAGAAGAGGCTCAGAGTTCTGTTGTCCTCTGAGAAGCCCTGAGACAATATTGTTTATCACAGTCCCAACCTCAAATACAAAAGGAAAATCTATATATAAATTAAAAACCTACAGATATCATTAAAATGAAAAAAAGAACAAACCTGTTTTTGTATATTTTTGTATACGGAAACAATCAACTCTTGTATTTATGTACTGTGACAAAAGGCATTGAATAGCACTTCTTGATGATGTAGAGAGTAAATTAGGATTCATATAAGTTAAAAATTATTTGATTGTATCCTTTATCTAAATCGCTTCTATGTTGAGCATACTAATACATGGACTTGGGAAAACTCATTTCAATTTGTAGTATTATCAATTTTTCAATGTCTAAATTAAAGCCATATATTGTTCTATTATGATAAATTTGAAGAAATGTAAGTATTTACAGAGGACACACCAGTATTTGTGGTTTGAAACAGCTAGTAAGAACAAATTTCTTTATAACTTTCCAGTTTGGATTTGGAGTAATTAATTACACTGTTAATTGGCTGAAAAGTAATGGAGTGAAGATTTAGCAGAAATCATACTCTAGTTAGGAACTTCTAATTAAGCCCAATGAAATGTACCCCAGGTTTCTTTATTGTCTCAAAAGATGATAAAGTGAAAATAAATCAAAACCAAAACTCTCAGCAAAATGATTGGGAGGATGTCTGGCCACTCAATGCATAGAAGTGGGACTTTTATCTGCCTCTCAGTCTTCTTGCAAACATTCATCTGAAAAATAAACAAGATTGAATTAGTAATGAAAGTAATGAATTAGATGAAATTTTATTTCATGAAACATCAATTTAACACGTAGTATTATACTAGATTGGAGCAGTGATTCTCAAACTTTCCTCCACCTCACCTGGAGGGCACACTCAGTGCAAAGTTGCTGGGCTCCCCCCTCAGGTTCCCATTCGGATCAGGGGTGGGGCTTAAGAATTTAGATTTTAACTAATGTACAAATGATAAGGATGCTGCTTGCCTGAGCCCATGGTTCAAGAACAGCTAGATGAGAGCATTCTTGAGAACACAGAGTATGTCTTTATATGGTTCTTTACATATTTTTATATATGAACATTTATTGCCATACAAACTATTTGGTTTTCAAAGCTAATTCTGTGTTTTTCCTTAATCATAATAATATACAGTAAATCCAGTATTTGATTGATCTCCCAATAAGTTAGGTAGACAAAGAATAGAAAATGACTTAAAAATATTGGGCCTTTAGGATACTAAAAAATCTATTGCAAAACAGGGGAATGGATGCTACACTCTTTCCTGCTTGATAGCTTTGTCCATCACTGGTTCGTTTTGTGTTTTCTACTTCCTGTGTACAGTGCCTTGCACATCAATGGTCATTTAATGAACACCAAGAGAAAGAATTCTTTTCTTCATTTAATAGGTAATGTGTTATGTGGTCCCTGCTGAAGGAATTCACCTTATTTCTTTTTACTTTCTTAATGAAAAACCCCTCTCCATATGATTTTCTATAATTTCCAATTTTCAAATGTTGTATCCTCAAAAATAGCTTTCTCCCTACGTGAGACTAGTTTAAACTTTTATACACTGATCAGAAGCTATGTAGTTAATTATAAGCCTGTGTGGTGACTATTTGGCAGTAAAAACATTCATATCTATAGGGTTAGCATAAACCATGGAAATAACTTGTTTCATCTTAATGGAGAAATAGAAGCAATCATCAGCCTGTAGAACATATTGTGTGAGTTTTCAAAGCTATCTCTTAATATTCAGGCAATACCAAACATCATTAAGGTGTTTCTTTGATCTAGCTTGCAACATTAAAACATCATTTTACAGCTTGGCCCCATGCCATGCAGTACAACAGAGATTCATTGTGAGAGTAAAATGGATGATTTCTCTCAATTTATTGAAAACAGGCTTCATAAAGACTCAAGAATACTTTCACTACCACCTCCCTATGATGTTCTCCATTGTATCTGATGCTTGGATTTGAAGAGGTTGAAGGAAATAATAAATATTCAATGAGTGGAAATTGTGTGAATTAATTTTGTTTTGCTCCTTTGAAAGTGTGTTTTTGAAACAGTGATATGAAAAGTTGTTAGGAAAAAGAGAAGTAGCAGAGAAAATTGAGATGCCCAGTGCATTATGAATTGACAAATCCAATATTCTTAGGCTTGAGGCTTTTTGACTGAATTCTGCACCAAAGAGTCACAGTAGAGAACTGTGAGTATAAAAAATGAAAATTTAATTGGGAGAAGGAAGAATTTATGCATATGTTTTTTCCCCTAAAATAAGTGTCCTTGGTAGAAACATAAGAAACAGAAAATGGGACCCCTATTTACCCAGCACTAAATTTAAGCATTATTCAGTATCTTTTGTATTTTGGGAGAGAAGGTAGCAGGTCCTTGTACTCACTTTTTTCTCAAAGCCCACGCTTGAAATCAAACACATACATTTAAGTGAAATGAAAGTAGATTGGATTAACTACTATGTAACTTTTTTTTACTTTAAAATTTCTCCTCACAGTTACTTACTCAAACGTTGAAGTCCTTTCAGTG